TAAAATATTGTAGGGCCTTGGTTTTTGCTGTGTACAATTTTGAAAATTTGCAATTTTTTTTCAAAATCTGGATTGCAAAATTATTATGCAAAATCTATCTAACCAATTTTGATGAAATTTTGGTGTGATGATTCTACATAACATGAAGTTTTCTTGAGCCAAGTATGAAGGTCCTATACCCAACTTAAAGACCCCAAAAAAATTCCCTAAAAAGTAATGTTTTTTAACCCCACTTTTGACAATCTTTTTGATTTTTACAATAATAATCACGATTCATTCGATTTGTAACTAGTCATATTTTGTAAGATTTAATTAGAAAAATTTTTTTCCTCTTCCATTTTCGCCTACAATCAACTCTTAAAAAGATACATAATTAAATAGGATGAAAATTAAGAAATTTTTCGAATTTTTTTAACATATTGGTCCGCCAAAAGTTAAGCCCACGTTTTTTTTATGCGCATAGAAAAATTTTCATTTTTAGTGATATTTTAAAGCCAAAAAGCCAAAAATCTCCGTGGATATACGATTCACCCAAACCAAAACAAATACCGTCTAGTCTAGGGTTGCCAACCGTCCGGATTTCGTCCGGACTGTTCGGTAATTAACTCAATTGTTCATGTCCGGAATGAAAGGCAAACAGAACACAAATTTGTTCAGTAATTCTAGTAAATAGGTTTAGGTACCATCGTCATCTGGTAACTTGTACCTCAAGGAACTGGTGTTTTAAGCGGTAGCTCCATGCCATATGCGAAGTTTTGCATCTAGGGTTAAACAAACTGCCTTGCCATTTCATTGACAAGTTTCAACAAATGAACAGATCACATTTTGCAAGTGTTGTGTTTTTTTTTGTTTTGCCTGTGCATCTGTCTTCTGTGACCCCACTCCCAAAACACACATAACTAAGTTGTGCCCACCCATTTTCATATAGCACGAGCCGCCACTGGTGTTCGGTAATCGATAGCTGGCAATCTGGCAACCCTAGCCTAGTCTAATGATTTAAATGCACATGTACGAACCATTCCAATCTGCCTTATTTTAACATATCATGCCGTAATGTGAAAAATAATATGTATTTGAAATAAAAAATAAAATATTGCAAGTAAATATTAACAGGTCTGGATAAACTAAAAAGAGCAAATTAAATATACAGTGCGCTTAAACTAATTAGGGGTTAAAAAGCATAATACCAACCGGTTAAATGTCTACCTTGTCCTCCTGGATACATGCACCGGAATATTCGTCCCAGTTCTTCCGCCTGTATGCGACCAGCGGGTGTCAATTCACCTCCCCATTTCAAAATCAGTACAAGTGAAGGTTCTGCTGGTTTATCTACTGGAACAAATTTAAAAATTGATATAGGTTTATGGAATTATAAATACAGATCAAGAATATTGTGTAAGTATATAATTATGCTTAGATAGTAACATACCATCATCAGAACTAGAACCTCTAGGTCTCCCTTTTGGTTGATACTTCATTTGCACCTTTCTATTAATACCCGAAAAGTGGCCATACCTAAGTATAAAACTTATAAGAAATAAAAAAATTATTTCTATCAATAACTCACATTTCCAAAACAGCTTTTAACTGTTCTAACTTCCCCTGTTTTTCTTCAATTTCAGGATCGGCTTCATGTTGTTGAATTTCAGCTAACAAAGACCTTGCTATATCTAAAATTTCTTGTAATTGTTTGGGTCTCTTTAATTTCACGTGACCATGTTTATAACCGTCATATTTTTCAAATATTTCAAAGAACCTAAAATTTAATAATCAACGTAATAATAGTGCCGCAAAAGTGAGAATATTATCAATGTGTGCTTGAATTGTTTGCCCAAGAAAACCATTGATTGTGACCATTCTCTTTGAAAATATAAAAGGAATTTTTTCAAATTTTGGGTTACAAGGGCTTTTATAAATATTGAAAAATATGGAGCTCTTAAGAGTATTTACGAAAAAATTAAATTGAAATTTGGCAAAGGTAAGTTTTTGAGAATATTTGTTAATTTTCAACTATACTGTAGTGATTGCTAGCAATGATTTTTCGCAGAAACAAAGTAGAAGATAACTTTATTGAAGTTAATTCTTTACATTGTCACTTTTTTGAAAACACATCACTTTTTTTCAATGATTGTAAAATTATTATTTACAAGACGTCTTATCGAGGAATTTGCAGTTTTGCATGAGCAGTTCAGTCATGAAATTCTAATTTCGGTTTAAAAAAACGGTCAACTAAATATTTATGCGATAAAAATATGCAATAAAGGAATCAAGTCCCTAATTAGAAATATATTAAAAATGCAAGTCAGAAACGAGTTTTGCTACAATTTTAAATACCTAGGAACCAAGCCCTTCAACATCATACAATATTTTAGAAAAATCCTGTATTCATAGGCAGATATTGGTTGACTTTAATTGACAATTGCATTTTTCTTGGAAACAGTTCATTTTCAGCAATTAACACAAAATTTAATTTTACATTATAATTAGAGTGTGCAACAAAACAGGTAATTTAAATAAACTTACCAATTGTTTATAATAAAAAATACCTAATAATAATCAAGGTGAAATTTAACTCGACATAATGAAAATAAAATGTTTTCTTATTTTTTATTTTAGCCCTCCTTGAACTACGTTTAATACTCCCATTTAATGTTCAGCTCAGGTTCAGTTGCACAACGTGCTAGCCAGATATCTGCTGCATAATAAATATTCACGAATGAATTGGCAGACCATGTGAAAAGAAATTATATAATAATATGAAATAGTAAAGCATTTACAATCGAAATTCTTGCTGAAAAGTCTCTACAAGATAGCCAACCAACAACATTCATGCTTTAAGCATTCTCAAGCTTACCTTCGCCAAATTTCAATGCGGTGTCTTGCATTTAGACATGGCTAAAATTTGATTAACAAAAATAATCTCTGATGCACTGTATCTTAAAACAAAAGACCATAGATTCATGCCCTTGAATACATGGCATTTTTTTTCAAAGGACCCTGCATATTATAAAAAAATAAAGTGAATTAAACTTACTTTGGATGTCGAACCTCAACTTTCATTTTTTGTTTAGGCGTCCTATCTCCATGTCTTATAACTGCTACTACACACCTCAGTTCCATCATCTTTCCGAAAGTCGTTGGCACGATTGGAGGATCATCCAATTGAAACGGGACAGACCATGGAATATGTAATGTGGGAGCCAATTCTCTCAATATCATATTACCTAATATTTTAGCGCAATCATCATAGTATTTATTGGAATTTTTTACAAAACTAAAGCCGTTAACATCACAGACAAATGATTTACCGCTGGCCCTAAGTAAATCGAAACCACAAACGGCCTGCTTGAAAGCCAAGCAAACCTTACGAGATATAAGCTTTTCAGCATTACTGAGAATTACCGGATAACGAATCTCTTTTCCATCCCTATCTCTTTCTACTTTACCATCTAGAGCTGGAGATTTTCTTGCCTCTGCGTGTGCGTAATCTGGTCCAACGGTGTAGACCTAAATTTAAATATTTTGGATAAATGTGAAGTAATTTTTATATCACAAATTTTTAAACTACAGAAAAGCATACATACTTTTTGCTAATTTCACATCCTGGAGAGTTTTATTCAAAAACATACTTACTTTTACATCTGTTCCGTCTGTAGGCATAAAATCTTCGTAAATAAAACTTCCCGTTTTTCTAACCCTGGATTCAGGTGAATAAACACTGCTACGACTGCCAATCTGAGAATAATAGAAACCCTTTTAAATATTAATAACTTGCGCACATCTGTACACACTTTTCTGAAAACATATATTAAGTAGACATGCTGGGAACGAACCAAAAAATACATTCAACAAAAAATAGGCCAGATATACATTAAAAAATGAAGATACTTTAACACTTATTCTAACATTCAGTGAAAGTAGCACTTAAACTTGTACTTAAAAAGAAACATATGACAAAACTCTTTATTTGTAAAGGGACTGTTGTTCTTTTGTGGAAAAGGATAAATTTCACTTATATTTTGCCTCAGTTTATAGGTGTTTATAACAATATAGCAAATCTAACTTTTTATAACTAAATAACCACAAAAAATTTTTAACTAGATAGCCGCAAAGCAAAGAAATTCTATCCCTTTTTACAATTCACATTTCTCTCAGAAAAAAATATATTTACCTTTCTAAATAGCCTCTGACTGCCTCCTCCAGCTGAAGTCGGGTAATAAATATAAATGTTATGGTCCTCCGCCGACACAGGTTTTTCAACAAATGGTTTGTTGAAAATTACTCCATTTACCTCAACATGATCTTCAGATTCAACCAATTCATGATCTAAAATAGATTTTTTCTATCTAATAACTTTAAGGGTTAAGACCACTGTATAATTTTCAGAAAACCTATTTTTTTTATTTATTTAAAAGATGATTTGAACCTTCTAGAATAAGGGAGAAAAAAAATTTTTTTTCTCTGAAATTCCTAGGCCTTTCCTGAGTGCGTCAGACTGCACCAAAAAAACCACCTGGGGCATACAAATACCTGTTGGAAGGATACAGCCTAATGACTTACCTTTTGATTTCTAACTTCTCTAATATTACTAACAAATGTTATTAATATCAACAGGTGTCATTAGAAGGAATTTGTGCTCAATTAGAAGCATTTTGAAACAAAAGTACATTAATACAATGATTATTTCAAAACTTTAGGCATTTTTCTCGAAACATGATTCTTTAAAACGGCATGCAGGATAATTCCAACAATTTTCATTCTATTCAGTATAGATTTCGACCATATCTTTAAAATAACATTCTGAAGAGAACCACACATAGGATTTTCGATTAGTTAATTTTAACATTATTTATTGACAAACGATAGCTTCTTTTTTATCAAAAATTGAATTTTTAAATTCAAATGCTCGCCAATCACACAAAAATTAATTTTTCAAAATCCCTTACATATTTCTCTAACCATACTCATGTAGATTACGAAAAAAAATTTTTGTTTTTTTTTCAGATATACAAAGAGTGACCGCAAAAATCGCCCGTTCTTTCACAATTCGCAGAGAACTTAAGAAAATAGATAAAAATTTTGGTCTCTCGTCGTAAAAAATTGAAAATTGAAATAGCTTTTAGTTTTTTGAAAATTTTCAAAAATCACCCCTATTTAGGGGTTGAAAAGACGCCCAAAATGAAGAATTTAATATTACCCATAAATATAAAAACTATTAACATGTGAATTTTCCTATCAAATGATTCTTGATACAAAGAAAGATTTATTTTCATGACTGAAATAAGCATGTTGAATTAGAAAATACATCCTTAAGCGCGCCCAGGGGGTGGAATCATCCCCAAAAATAGAGAATATCAAAAATAATTGTAAAGATTCCAAAAAAATATATATTAAGATAATTCACATGTTAATAGTTTTTATATCAATTGGTAATATTCAAATTCTTAATTTTTAGCATTTTTTCAACCCCTAAATAGGGGTGGCTTTTAAAATTTTCAAAAGTCTCAAAGCTATGCTCATTTCAGTTTTTTACGACAAGTAATTTGTGACCAAAAACATATTTTTATGTATTTTTTTAAATTATCTGTGAATTGTGAAAAAACGGGCGAAAATCACAGGTTTTTTGCGGTCACTCTTTACGTCAGTTATACAGCATGCCTCAAATTCAACACGCCCTGCGAGAATAGCTCCAGCGTTGTCATTTTGTACTATTTATGAATACATTTTTTTTGAACACTTAAAGACATGGTTAATAACGTCATTGAATACTATTATCTTCTTATTTTTGGTGCCATTAAAGAAAATACAAAAAAATGCTTTATTTTAGAATTTTACACTATAGCAAATGTTTTGAACACCAAGCTAAATTTAAATGGTATTTACATATAAATTCATAAAGCATATAGGTAAACTCTAAAATTACTAAATCTTGCAATTTGTTAAGTTTCGTTCACCTAACTTCTGAGCATTTTTTTTTTATATAACATTTTAAAATCTTGTGCACTCAAAATGGGATTAGTAAAAGGTCGGTCTGTATGAGTATTTTTAGGTAGAGCATAATTTGCATTTAGAACAGCTAGAAAGAAGAGGATTAAAATACGATTTTTGTTACATAAAATAAAATCATATGTCCTGATTTAATATAATTAACTGTTTAACTGTTTTCATTAAATGTCTTTTCTTTAGCTCTTCTCTTTTCACAGACACCTTATAGCCGAATTTCATAAAAAAAATATAGAACATTACAAGTTACTGATATTCAAGAAGTGGGGATTTTAAAGGGTGTTGAATTAAGCTACATCAAACTTCGCATAAAAAAATTCCTAAGATGATTTTACGAAAATCATCCACTAAAAAAATCATAGTAGGTTGCATAGTGGTACCATCACTATGGTACTTGTTTAGTTTTGTAGAGACGATAAGACTATATAAACAAAAAAAGTTATTAAAATCGTACAACACAATAAAAGTTGACAGGAACATTCTGGATCAAACCTAAACACCCTGCAAGTAACATACCTTTGGGATCTAAACTATCCCGATCGAGTACTGCATATCTGGGTATTTCGATTCCTTCAGACTCCAAAGTGGCATACACTTTTCTTCTATCTTGAATATCATACTGCATATGTAAATTATTTATCACATAGGGATTGTGTAGCTGAGCATACTGAATTGCCTTATCCAGAGGAAACCCTTTGGAATGGAATGATATTAGGCAATCACATACGGGCCATTCTTCCACGGGTTTCTAAAAAATGCATAATTTAGAAAAATGTTAAGCACGTTATAGAAATTTAAAAACTTTTCGCTAAATTTGGCCTTGTTAAATAAAATATTTATTTTAACTCATTCATATTATATCAAAATGTGAACAAGTTACTTTTAGAAGAGGTATTACCTGTAAAATTACCTCTTCCTGAAAAACAATAACTTTAATGTACTCAAATTCTTGTAGCCTTGTTAAAATCTCTTTCATCGGTTTACTCTGAGTTTTCTTCTCCATAGCACACACTCCTACTATTACCACTTTTCCTCCATCGTCGTCCATGTCTTGTGGACTTAAGCTTATATCGCTTGGATCGCATAATTCCAAATCCCCCTAAAATTATAAATATTGTATAAATTTTACTTGTACTATTCAATTAATCTCTAATACAACATTCACAATAGTTTGTTATATAATACAGATGTTACGTTACATACAAGAACAGGTATTTGTAAGTACATAAAACAAAATAAATAAGAAAACTAAAAGCAGTGTAAAGAATATTTTAATTTTTTATTTAAAAACTGTGTTTTACAGAAATAATATTCATTTGTAATTTTCTGTTTGTAAATTTATTTTGTATGTAATATTTACTCAATTTTTTTAATTTATTACTGCCTCTACTGAAAGTACTGGTTAATTAAAGAATAATTATTCTAAGCCACTATAAGTAGGTACCAAGTCAATTATATCTACAGGATTTGATTTAGTCCCAATGTAAAACATGGTGCCCGAGATAAAAATTTTTAAAACCCAAAAATATTATTATTATTTAAAAAAATAAATAACCATATGGATGAATGATATGAAGGTCAAAGATGAAAATTCGTATACTGATAAGAGGAATATAAAATTTATAAGAGAATAAAGAAATTGTTAGTGTCACTGAATGTGTTGAGTGTATGTACTATCTGTAAGTATATACATAAAAATAATTTCTATATTATCTTAACAATCAAATAATTGAGTTATCAATTATATTATCAATATTAATATAACACCTAGATATTTTTGCTTGTTGAGTGTGTGCATATACATTTAATTGGAAAATAAAATACAATGTATATTACTATTTCAGTACTGTATATTGATTGAGGGTTAAACAAATATTGAAAAATATCAATTTTACTTATATAAAATTTTATTAACACAGCTGTAATAGAACCTCAAGTAATCCAAAGTGAAAGTGACTAAATCCGAAAATCTGAACTACTCTATAATCGGAATATTGTAAAATATAGTCCAGAATATAGAGTTTATTCTGGATTACAGGACTTCGATATCCATAGGTATTCTTCTTAAAAACTTGCAAGAAATGAGTGCAATATCTATTCTTTTACTATATAAATATTTAATAAGTTTAGTTCTCTTTTGTAACTCAAAGTTAATATATCGACACATCGAATAAATATATAACTTTAGAATTAGAAGGTAAAATGAATATTGTACAAAAGTTAGAAGATAGGCAAATTATAGAAAATTACTACTGCTTTTTATAATTGGAAAGTCAACCATATAAGTTTTTTATTTATTTCAATGATGATATTTTTTAAATCAGAATAAAAATAATAATAATTTCTCTATTTTTTAATTTGCAGCTTTTAATGCACCTGGGCTCGCATTGCTTTATTTTGGATTATCAAGGTACTACTGTACTTATAAATGATCTTATTAGTTAAGAATGAAAAGTGAGAGAGCTGAACATGATTTTGATGTAAGGTTCACAATGACTAAATTTTAAAAAAATATCAAACTGTAAATTTGAATGTTAGTTGAAATTCTTATGTATGTAACGTCTGTAATGTTTATTTTGCTAATTATATACACATTATTATACTAAAAAAACTCTACTGAAGTTTTGTAGGTACTGTTATAATGTTTTTCTCAATCACGTTTTTCAAAAAATTGAAATCACTTGTGTATCTTATTTTTTTGTTCAGAGATAAAGATTACACTCGTGATTTTATCAAGAAAAACTCGATAACAATTTTACTGACAAAACCACAGACTGTTTCATTGTTAATTCAAGTAGGAATGTGTTAATTTTTTTTAATACTGAAATTTACATTTTAGTGTCACTGTGAAAATTATAACATGTTGGGTGTGACTTTTACTTTTTTCTCAGGCATGGGTATGGTACATTCATAGCAAAAATTATTTAAAATACTGTTCACTTTTGTATGCTATATCGATTTAAATAAAAATAAATATATTCAACATTGTTAAATTATGGATATTTTATAAAATCCAAAAAAGAAGTTAATTTAGTAAGTGTATTTTTTAAATATGTATTCTTTTTACTTCAGTAAGAAAACATACATCATTTCCCAAGCACTCATCACAAAAACAAAATGATTCCGTTTCACTAGCTCTTCTATATTTTCTCCATTTTTTTAACCTCCACCAATCTTTCAGCCAAGTCCATTCCATTTTGCAAAATTGAAAAATAGTTTGACAGCGGCACAATGAATTTTACCTATCACTGGTTGAAAAAACTATTAAGATCTAATGTTTCCTTAACAACAAACACTTAGAACACCTTCATTGCAAATGTTTAATCAATGGCACTAATCTAAGGTTAAATAAAATGTATACAGAAGTAATTATAATTAAAACCCACTGTTTATTAACAAATATTGCCAGACCTAGTAACAAATTATAAGCATCATTATCTTATCCCAAGTCTAAAAATAATTCCACAACATACTAGTGTTTTTAAAATTCCATTTGAGTAATGCATATATACAGGGTGCAACAGAAATAGATGAAGAAATTTTAACTTCAAATAAAAATATGCTGTTATTGAAATACAATGATAATATTTATTTTTAATAATAATTTAGTTCACAAAATTGAATGCATTCCAATACATATTTGATTTTTTTTTTTATTTAGTAATTTGAATTCAGTTGATACTTTTAATTTCTAGTCATCGAGACATTTTTATGTCGGTCGATAGCCGCACGGTTTAAGGCGTCAGTCCTTTAATCGTGTGCAAATTTCTGCCTGGGTTCGATTCCCGCGGCCGGTAGACCGTAGATTAGCTATGCTTGTACGGAGGATTGGCACCCTCTGTGCAGGTATGGTAGGGTGGAAGAATGTTGGCTTGGGTCAATGTGAGAGATTGACACCAGTTGGCATTTGACCACCCCCCTAATTAATGAGGTTTTCCAGGTTTCCCTCATTCCTGCACTGAATGGTGGTCAGGGCCTACCAACATAAGTCGTTCCTGGGCGCAAATGTGGCCTGCCTAATAATAATATGCCTCCTCTTCTCCCGCACAAGTCTCCGACTTATGGGCTAATTCTCGTAGTTAGAATGAAGAGTAGAGATATTATTATTATTATTATTATTATTATTATTATTATTATTTAAAACTCTAATACTGTAAACTTTTCATCTGATATTAAGTCAACCTATCAAAAAGTAAATATCAAAAACTAATTTCAATGATTTTTTCATGCAACTAAAAAGCCAAATTTGTACTTTTCATGCAAAAATAATCCAATGAACACTACAAAAAGCATGAATATTTATACAGAGATCCAGAATGATTGAAGCGTTTGGGGAACGCAGAGACTAACTCCAACTTTAGCATACAAAAATGTGTAGTATTGACAGAGACAGGCACTGGCTGCGATCTCCAAACACTTCAATCATTCTAGATCTCTCTGTATAAGAATTTTTAAGTATTTTGCTGTCATCTCAGATCTAAACTTTCTGACAAACAAATACTGTATATTATTTATATTGAAGTTAATTAAATCCAAACCAACTGCAAATATTAGTAACAATAAAACATAAGACTATAAACCACTATGTAACCAATATAAAGATTTAATAGTGTCTAATTAATCTAAGCAACTGTACTTATTGCATAGAAAATGTTAATCAAGCATTGGTAGTTAATTTGATTAAAAAGGTGTTACTTTATTCTATTCACTGTAGATTTTACAATCACCTAAAGATCTCACAAAGGAGTTTATGTATTCACATTTCTTTTGTTCAATTTTTAATATTGTGATTAATAAATTCTACAAGATAGTGAATTAAATATAACTTAATTTGTAATTTAGCGTGTCTTAATACAATATGTTAAACATTTAAAAAAGTCTTTTCAACAGTAAAATTTCTATTTCATCTAAAAAAAGTATTTTGTTATAATGAAGCAAATCTTTTAAAAATTAGATCGTACATCACATCTGTTCTCAGTGAAAAGAGGTAACTTATTAGGTTGTTACTAAATGATAGTGAAAATATTACGTGAATATATTCTATTTATAAACTTCGATTACCACTGAATATAATTCTTTGTTCAAATATGAATTTGGATAAGTGAAAACGCATCAATTTGTTTATTTTTAGTGGAAGAATAAATATAGGTATGTGAACATACACAAGCAAGTTCAGATTTATTAAATTTTAGAATACCCAGTGCCTGATTTACCTATAGGCTGGTGTAGCCTACAGGCTCCACCAACTAGGGGCCTCGCCATGTTAACAATTTTTTTTTTATGAAAACTAATTGTTTTTTTAAATTTCTTTTTAAACCTCCCCATCATGAACAAGAAAGAAAAAATATTCTGAAAAATATAATTTTTTATTCTTAAAATTTGAATAGGCCCCCACCACTGTAAATCAGGCACTTATAATACTTATAAATCTTATATCTATATAATCTTATAAATATCAAATAAATTATGTTATTTATTAATCTAGAAAAATGTATAATTCTTGTATTCAAATTTATAAAATAAGAATTAATATCTTGCGTTTAAAATGGTTTCTTTTTTACAATGCACATTAAACATTTTCAAATTAATACTTTAAATGTATTTTGTGAATTAGAATGCAGTGTTACACCCTTGTGAATTAGTTTAACAAATAAAAAATAAATATTTCAACGTCACAAAAAGCAGAAGTACAAAATACCCTGTGCCAATAAGAAGGAGCAAGCAATGGATTGTCAACATCTTCAATAACAACACATGGAACTGATTTGTCCGATTTTGAGTTCGGACTACAATTCAAAGTATCCATAAATTAAAAATAAAAAAAAGATTAAAGAATAACTTGTGCATGAAGCTAAAAAAATAATTATTAGAAATAATAATATACTGATGAACTTACTGTCCCTACATAGAACTGCGTAGGTCTGGTCGCTTTACGCAAACCCTGGTATCCATGTTCCAATTCTGTATAGGACATGACTTAAACGAAACATGCCTACAGAAATAGCCTGAAAAATTATTGAAACATTGTCAATTTTTATTTTTAGGATTAGATAAGGACAAAATGATTGGCAGGACATAGGAGATCTTACCAAATTTTTAAATTAATGAGCAAGTCACTAAATATTGATCAAAAAATAAATTTTTCAATACAATTTTCTGGGAAGGTATTTTTTCAGTTAATTTTAATTTATTCAGTAACTTTTTCTTTCACTTGCTGAATATTTCTATTTCAAAGCGAAATAGAACAATATTTCTCCCATAATACCACAATTGTCATATTGACATTGACAATATTGACATTGACAAGTGTAACATTATACAAACACGAACAGCCATCCAACATCCAACATCCAACCAAACAGTAGGCTGTTTTTTGCGATCGAAGTAAAATCGTATGTTGTAGTATGTGTAGGTATGGTGAATGAAAAGATTTTAACTACCGTATGCCTACTAAGACCAAAAGAGATAGAAATATTAACTACAGATATTCACCAATATTAAATCGTGAAAAAAGCCTAGTTTCTAGAGATAGCCTTTGATTTGGAACTTATGTATGCGCGCCGTTCAAAAAACTGGTAAGTTAGGTTAGATCAGGTTATGCTTTCCTGTATGTGAAACGTACGAAAATGAATGAAAAAAGACCAAAGAAAGAGGTTGGAAGCGATAGAGGTTACAAAGATTGCAATTTATCTGCGCAAAGGCTGTCTTTTTTCTTATTTAGCCGCGCTACCTTACGCAACCATACCACACATATAGACATGTAGACATGACCCCGGGACTTACATAGACGAGCCGGCGAAGCAAGAAGAGCGCTAGAAGAAAGGGCCCTAGCCGGCGGGGCCCAGCCAGGACAAAAGGAGGTCCCACAAAGCGCCTACACCGGCCGCATTTGCTTAGATTAGGAAAGAGAGTTAGGATATCCTAATATAACAATAAGCTTTATTGGCTCATTTAAACATTTACATACATTAATGAAATGACGGGCTATATTCCAAAATTGAGGTAATGGAGGTTAGGTTATCGTTTTCATGCCAACTTGGCGTTAGAATTCATATTGTTCCTGTGGTAGAACTTAGTATAAGTACTATCAAAATATTCAATAGTACCAAACTATTCGATAGTCAAAAAGGAGTCGAATGAATATAGTAATGCTTAGCAATAAAAATACCGGTTTCATGCCATATGATACCTAATAGGTACGTACTATTTTTGCCCCCCTCGTACGGACCATGGGTCGGTTGTCATGTGGACACAGAGGCCGTGGCGATAGCGGTGAGATCGCTACGGCATGGAGACGTTGCGGTGGTGTCCTGTTACCACCCACCCAGACTACCACTACTTGACAATGACTTAGACAAAATCCTTTCCTGGCCCCAGACAATTGCCATCGGGGACTTCAACGCGAAGTCCCCCATATGGCACAGCGGGACGACGACCACAAGAGGTCGCGTCCTGCTGAATTACCAAGACAGACACGACGACTTGACTATACTCGGACCGACAGAACCGACACATTACGGACCCGTAGGACGCCCCGACGTTATCGACATTGCCCTCTTAAAATCTATACCGTTAAATGCCCAAATATCCACCCAATACGAAGGGTCTTCCGCCCACAATCCAATATTTCTGGATCTGGGGCGAAGACAGAGATATGAAGGCACCTTCACGAGGAGGTTCACTGACTGGGAGCGTTTCCGAACAGTAATGCAAGGAAACATGGCGCTCCCAGTCATCGAAACCACCCATGATCTGGAGGCGGCAATCCTCTCCCTTGAGACTGACATTAAAAACGCCCTGACTCAGACTACGACGGAGACTATTGTCCCCCGACTGACAAACCCCCGGGGCACCCTCCCCGATGACATAAAAAACTTAATACGTGACAGACGACGTGCGAAACGGCTTGCCACCCGCACCCGCCTCCCCCGACACAGACATGACTTAAACGTACTTAACAGACGGGTGAAGGCGGCTCTGGATGAACTGGCCCAGGATAACTGGGCTAGGCACCTGGAGTCGCTGGATCCACAAGACAACAGCCTCTGGAAAACGCAGAGGGCCCTGCGACAGACCGCTCGCCGTAAAATTCCTCCAATCCACGGTAGTGTGGGGGTGGTTTACACGAACCAGGAAAAGGCCGAGGCTTTCGCCGATAGCCTGGAACTGCAGTGTAGACTGCCTCAGCTGCCCGACGAAGACGAGGAATTCGAGATAGTGGCTGAGCGCGCGGCCCGACGCGTCGACAGAGAGCCAGACAATGACATAATCCCCCCCGCAACACCTGACGAACTAAGACTGACAATACGCAGACTTAAAAACAGAAAAGCCCCCGGACCCGACAATATACATAACACGACACTTAAACGACTACCACACAAGGGCCTCATGGCCCTACTAAACATAACAAACGCGACACTCAGACTAAGACACTTCCCTACCCGCTGGAAAACAGCAAACATAATCCTTATCCCAAAACCCAACAAAGATCACACCATCCCATCCAACTACCGGCCCATTAGCCTGCTCCCGGCTATGAGCAAAGTGGTAGAAAAAATTATCCTAACCCGTCTAAGAACCCACTCCCAAGAACTGCAAGTCATTCCAGACGAGCAGTTCGCCTTCCGACCCAATCACTCCACTGAACTCCAAATCCTTCGCCTTACCGAGCACATCACGGCGGCCTTCAACAGGGGACAGTACACTGGTGCTGTCTTCCTGGACGTCGCAAAGGCCTTCGATACGGTTTGGCATGAAGGCCTACTGATGAAAATGCTCACCAACCAATATCCCATATCCTTTACCAAACTCATAAAATCCTACCTACACCACCGAAAATTCCGCATCCAAATCCAAGATTCCCTTTCCACCACCCGTCCCATGGAGGCCGGTGTCCCCCAGGGCACCGTCCTGTCCCCACACCTATACACCATTTACAACTCCGACATCCCACATCCCCCCAACACCAACATATACTTATACGCCGACGACCTGACAATCACATCCCAATCCGTAGATCCTAGATATTCCGTCTCCCTCCTCCAAAACTCCTTAGACCAACTTGAAACCTGGTGCAACAGGTGGAAAGTCAAAATTAATCCCAACAAAAGTTCGGCTATCCTTTTTACCAAACGAAAAATCCCACAAAACCTCGACAGACTGACACTATCCCAGGAACCTATCTCCTGGAATCGACAAACACGATACCTGGGCGTGACGATGGACCAGCGTCTCACGTGGAAACCGCACATCGTGGAGACGGTGGCGCGAGCGAAGACCACCAGGGCTAGGCTCTATCCCTTACTCAAAGGTGGAAACACCCTCAGTTTAAGGAATAAGCGAACGCTTATCAAGGTGGTACTTCAACCGCAGCTAACCTACGCCTCCACGGCGTGGGGTCACGCGGCAAAAAGCCACTTAAAGTCATTACAGGCTGTGGAAAACATAGCCCTCCGCACGGCCACCGACGCGCCCTGGTACGTAAGAAACACTGACATATTACGAGACTTACAATACACAAACGCTACACAGACAATAAGACAAAACGCGGAGAAACGATTTGACGTAGCCGCTAGACATGACAATCCCCTCCTCAGGCAAGCCGTATACTACGTACCCGACGTGACCGACAAACACAAAAGACCTAGACACCAACTTTTTGACGCCGGGTGACCACCCCAACGGCCCCCCTCCCCCTGCCCGCTAACCTTTTCTGTTTCAGAGACAGCCAGGATCAAGAAACGAAGACAACGCGCCATTATTCTATGGCTAGAAATTGGCCTCAATGATTTGGGATCGAGGGGGATTATCCCTCTTTATCCTGCCTCATCTCGTGTAGGCCTGGACAGCCTTCGTAGGTGGGCCCCATCCCCATACCACACATAAACATGACACTACCCCCGGGGTTTACACAGACGAGCCGGCGAAGCAAGAAGAGCGCCAGAAGAAAGGGCCCTAGCCGGCGGGGCCCAGCCAGGACAAAAGGAGGTCCCACAAAGCGCCTACACCGGCCGCATTTGCGGTCGGGGTAGACGACGGATGGGGCCCACCTACGAAGGCTGTCCAGGCCTACACGAGATGAGGCAGGATAAAGAGGGATAATCCCCCTCGATCCCAAATCATTGAGGCCAATTTCTAGCCATGGAATAATGGCGCGGCGCGCCTACACCGGCCGCATTTGCAGTGGGGGTAGACGACGGATGGGGACCACCTACGAAGGCTGTCTAGGCCTACATGAGATGAGGCAGGATAAAGAGGGATAATCCCCCTCGAACCCAAATCAATGGGGCCAATTTCTAACCATGGAATAATGGCGCGTACGTGATCCGCAATTCTAGATTATCGTGCGTAGTAATTCTGTTGGCAACACTAAATGTTTAATGCTCACAATCAGATTTGACAGTCTGTCAAATCTACGATTTTGGAATTTTGTGCTTGTCATTTGTGGATTCGATATTTGTCCTTATAGTTTGTACATCGTCTTCATATATTGTGTTTTGTACTTCTTTTTTGCTATAACTCGTTCATTTTTAATCACATAGGTAGGTTTTTAATTAAATTTGTTGTTTTCAAGAAGTTTTATGTGTAGATAGGTATATTTTAAAAGTATAAATACGTAACCTATATACATCGTGACTGGTATCTTTTAAACTTTAAAACTTAGATAAGAAAAATTAGCAGAAATGCCGGCTGGAGGTGCTTTATTTGGTAGTTCAACTACAGGACCTGGCTCAACTGGGGGTAATAAGCATTTGGTTGAAATGCGTGCAGGAAAAATGAATCTAAAAGGTAATTAAGTAATGACACTGTCAACATATTTAATGACTATTGATATAGAATCATTTCAGTGGTTCATTAGTTATACTATAGTCTTATTATTTTAACAAATTTTTGTAGGTCGTATGGTCTACCCTGACAAACGAAAGGGTCTTTTATATGTTTATCAAAGTGAAGATTCACTCATGCATTTCTGTTGGCAAGATCGTACTACAGGTACAAATAAATAAGAAGTTGTTTTAGGTATATATTTACAAAAACATAATATTTCGTAGGTATTGTAGAAGATGATTTGATAATTTTTCCTGATGATTGTGAATACATCAAGGTTCCTCAGTGTACTACCGGAAGAGCTTATCTTCTCAAATTTAAATCTTCAAATAAAAAATTTTTCTTTTGGCTACAGGTATTTTTAATTTTATTTATAAAGCATAATTACATTGCATTAACACTTTATTAGTGTCACTAGTTGATTACAATAAAATTTATATGAGAAATTAGAACATACAAATACAATCTACTCTACATGCATTTTTTTTCTAGGAACCTCGAACTGACAAAGATGATGATAACTGCAAGAGAATTAATGAACTGCTAAACAATCCTTCTAGTGCAGTTCAGTCTTCTGGAAATCCAGATCAGGATTTGCAGTCGTTGTTGAATAACATGTCACAATCTCAACTCATGCAACTGTTTGGTGGTGCTGGTCAGATGGGAGGTCTATCCAGTCTCCTTGGTACGATTAGGTATGTATTAGCACAAATACTGGTAGCTGGTAGCCTTAGTTTTTATATATAGGTTGTTGGTAGTCAATGGTGGGAATTAAGGCCAAAACTCAAAGAAAATACAAGGATTTTTTCTTTGTTGACGTTTCGTCGCCCCTTTATTTTGTCATCTTCAGGACAATGGAAAACTAAGATTTTCAGTATGTTTTTTTAGTCTATACATGTAACAGTCTTGGACAGTTATAGATAAAACCATATATAGAGACATGAGAGCCTAAACAAACAATAACGGCATTTCGAATTTACATCAGTGGAGTCTCCTTTTTTGATGCCACAAAACAACCCAGCCAAACTTACAAATTTTATACCATAGCATAAAATTATATCTACCAGAAAATTCTATACAAGAATATTTAAGCTGTATGTATTTTAAAATCAGATGTCAATCATTAATTTGAAAAGCACTATTTTGCAAAGCGCTATTTTTCAAAGCAGATTCTTCTAAACACTATCCCCAGATTCTAGTTTTTTTTTTAAATCAATGTCAAATAAGTTTTATAATTATATTTCCTTCACTTATACATCTATTAGATAGAATTGTATCCAAATATTTGAATATAATTATTGATTTACAAAATAAAAATTTTACTGCTCTCTCCGAGTATCAGGCTGTATCGAAATCTGAAAGTGAATATATAATATAGTAATATTAATACTTTGGATTATTATAAAAACTTACCTCCTTTCACATATGTATATGAGACTAGCTAAATATATTAGGCACTTTTTACAAAATAATATTTTTTTTTGGAACAAAATATAAAAATTATTTTGAACTCGATTACTCGTTTCATAGCAGCTTTTTAAGATTGTGATAATTTTATTTTTTAATTTTGATAACCATTTTGTATTTATTTATTATTTTACATTATATAACTGATTTTTTTTTTCATTTTGCAGAAGTCCCAATAGTGGCAGTGCTCGAACAAATCCTACGCCTGCTTTAACACACCGTACAGTTCCCAGCACACCTACGACTAATACGTCAACTAATCAAACTACCCCTTCTGCGGGACAAACAACCCCCCAAAATACTTCGATCCCAACCGTTACTCCTGATGCTCCCAGTAGACCCCGAACAACGACTCGACCAGCAGAAACCACTCCTACTACTGGAAGTACCAATCCAATCCAGCTCTCGGACTTACAGAATTTCTTACAAGGCATTGGTCCCGTTCCTCCAGAAGAAGGCCAGCGCCAGTCAGGTAATATGAGGAATTTTTAAATTAGTATACAATGATTGATGATTTTTAAGAACGTACAGTGAAATCAAAAGTAATAAATGTTATACTAATATTCACTTTTCCACACGTATTGGGCTGTATGCATAAAAACTAGTAAATAATAATAACTATCAAGTAATTGTAAATACTCGACTCGAATGGCAGATATGTTAGATTATATTATGTTTACTAAATATATATAAAAAAATAGGAATAAAAACAGTAACAAGTCCAGAAATGGTACTTATGGACTAAGCTTCAACTTTCATTTCCATTACAGTGGTATTTAATTTAGAGTCGATAAATGTCAAATTATTTTAACATCGTCAAAGTGCATTTTATTTGTAACTTATTTTAGAAATAAGAAAAGGTCCAATTTTCTCACAATCCTTTTATTTTTAAAAAGACTTACCGGTTTCGAGGTCAAACTTTACACCTCATCTTCAGGTCTTACAAGGCTAAAATATAATATTTTTTTTCTAAAATATGTCAAATTATGTTTAATTTTAATTTTTTATAGAAGTCAAATTATGTTTTATTTTATTAAAAATAATGTTGACTGGTGACAATATTTAACAGAGTGTCAAAATTGACAATATTTTATAACTATATTTTTTTCTTTTAGAAATTTTTTTTACAACTTCAGTAGAACCCCGATTATCCATGTGCGGATTGTCCGGGGGCGGATTATCCATGCTATGTCTAAGAATTTGTGGTGATGCGTTATTTTGTTTTTGTTCAGTGAAGACCGTATAACATCATGTGTTGTAGCTAACGTTTCTAATCTGCAGCAGTTGCAAATATTCTCTTAGCTTATTTTGAGTAAATCGACATATTAAACTTACTCTAAAAACAGAAAAAGTTAAATACGGATTAAAATGATTGACTAAAATTTATAGGGCTCAAACTGCTCCAGACGGATTAATTCGCTCGAATAGTTAAATTGGATCAGGTTGCTCAAACCGTATATATTCGCAACCATGCGCATTAGTGACTCGGTTAATGCAATTGGTATGGCGAATTTTTGCAGGCGAGCTTATAGCGATTGTGACAAATATTTTTATGGAAAGAGGTACTGGTAATAATACCAAGATTGTTCATCTTTCATTCAGTTTCTATTTAATACAGCTGTCGATATACGTACTGTATTTTATTTAAAATAAAATTGTAAAATTTATCGTAAATCGTAATTTAACACAACATAATGTAAAACTATAAGTGGTCTAACTGCTCCAGACATATATATTCGCACGCGATAAACTTTCGCGCATGGCGCGGTAGCTACGTTCAGACGTATTGCGCAGCGAAAGGGTTAAAAAGTATAGCTAGACACTTAAAATAAATGTACCTAAATTGCATTTGCAATGATTTTGTGCATGTTTACCTATGTACTGCTTCATTTCTTATGTAAAAAATAAGTTTTGATTACCTGTGTTTTTCAATTATCCGTGCCGCGCTCGGTTCCGTAGATCACGGATAATCGGGGTTCTACTGTACTACCTACTTAGCCAGAAGCTTATGAAAACTGATATATGTTTGGTTAATATATTCTTTTATTTTAAAATACAGTAGAACCTCATTATCCGGCCCGGGCGGGATTCAACCGTTGCTGGATAATCGAAAACATGGTTAATCGAAATAACGCCCAAACTCACCAATTATGCAAAAAATATGAACTTTATTACACATACGTATTAGGTAAATAATATGTATGCGATAAACAAGCAGACACCTTTTTTTTTGTTTGAGCACTTTTTTTGCACCACCACGGATAATCCACGCACGGATAGCGGATAACCATAAACATTGCAGCGCATGAAGAATCCGCCACACAGGTCAGCTGTGCATGGATAATCGGGGTTCTACTGTAATTCTATTAAAATCTATTACGTACGTTTTGCCAAATTAATGAAATGTCAAATGTAATATGTCTAATCATCATTTGTTGGCAAAATGGGTGGAGGGGTTGTATCCTTATTGATGCCATTGTACTTTTTATAGCCACTGCAAGATAAAACTGTACTCGACTCCGTTACTGTATTGAAACACAAGTCTGTGGTTGTAAATGTCTATCTTTGATATTTAATTTTAAAACTTCAGCATAGAAAATATCCACAATTCAAGAGTGCTTGTCTAATTTAGTTTGGGACTTAATTTTTCACATAAACGTTTGCGACCAATCAAAGAATGAATACCCTTTTTGTTCTGTCCATATCAATTCCATACCTTAATACAGGGTTACATCTGTCAGGATTCAGCGACATTGCAGTCGACACCTTCAGATTTCGCAAATTACTATTTATCATTATTATTTATTACCTATGTATTATAACATAATTAAGCAACGATTTTCTCATTTTGAAGCGCATGTACTTAGATCTGATTGCCACTGCACTGCCTCTTGCAAGTCTAAGCATCCCTAAAACTGGACAGCATCAAGAATTAGGCAGATGCTCTTGTCTTGTATATGTGACAGTTATAGGTCATTAACTTACTCATTCGAATGGCATATCACGATACTAGATATGTTACTATAAACATTTTTTGGCCACCCAAACCATATCTAACATAGCTGGAGTTTTCTTGCGTTAGGAGTTAGGCCGGTGTCCCATGCATCCGAATTCCGATGTACGATATCCGAAAATATTTTAATTCATACGAATGATTATAATTCACATGCATCCGAAATTAATCTCATAGAAATCAAGTATAGAACCATGGAATTTATTACAACAATCATAGTATGTTAAAAACTTAAAAAGTGAGGTTAAAAAACATACGATTTTAGACGAAAGTTAAAATTATTTCTACTTTTTGCGGCATCGTATGAATTTTAAAATTTTCGAATGAAAATGAGCGGTAAAAATTTGAATGTATATTAACCGATAGGAACACTTCAGATCTTCTTATCATCGGAATTTGGATGTATGGGACACCGGCCTTAGTTTCTCGACCCGTCTTGTAAAAATTTGTTTGGGTTCGTGTTTCTAACCTCAACAATCACAAATCATACCTCAAATCCTTGTTTAAATAAAATAGTAATTGTAAAATGTACAGCCACACTCCTTTTGAGCTTTGTTCCTGTTAAAACTACCCTTGTACATGCCACTAGTAGTGCACATTTTGAAAGTTTTAACAAAGAAGTAAATAATACTGGAAACAGTATTAAACCTAGTTTTTCCTTAAAAAATTCCCAGTAAAAGCATTTACTCACTAGCTTTAATGCACAACCGCCTTTGATACATTAAATGTTTGAATTAATGTAAACTGTAAGCTTGACAAGAAGTTCTTTCAGTTGATTTATCTACTGCTTTAACAAGTGATGCTCTATCAGGTGTTTTGAGTAACCCAGAAACTCTTCAACAACTCCAGAACCACTTGCCAGCTGTAGATGGCAGCACACAAGAAGCGCTGAGATCAACATTGGCATCACCTCAATTTCAACAGGTAACACAACAGTAACAGCAACAATGTCAGCCTTTAACAGTAATTTTTTAATATTTAGGCTGTTTCCCAATTTTCAAGCGCTTTGGAATCAGGCCAGTTGGGACCGGTCGTCTCACAATTAGCCGTTAACTCAGAAGCAGTTGCAGCTGCGTCTCAAGGAAATATGCAAGGCTTTGTTAAAGCTCTGGAAAAGGGCAACTCTGCCGAAGGAAGCAGCTCATCGGAGAAAAGTGACAAAGATAAAAAGAAGGATAAGAAAGACGACAAAGACGATGATGAACAAATGCAACTCGATTAGGTGTATTCTAATTATGCTGTCTTGCTTTTATATACTATTATGTACTAATAAACTGCAAATCTTTGTTTTATAATCATTAATATCCTTATATACTGGAAGATTGGAATTGTATCAATATAGTAGCGTGATTATTTCATTACTACTTTTATGTAGTTATCAAACTTAAATTAGTTAATATATTATTCATACATTTAGCAATAAATAGTATTTTTCTGTAACATATTTAAAATGTAGTCGTTATATTTAGTGGAAAATCCATGTACCTAAATCATTTGTTCTAAAACATTTTCATTAAAATAAAAATTGTGTCGGAGTGCATTGTTTTTATTTCATCCATTAACATTTTTTTTTCACTTTTTACTTTTACTTTTCTTCCTTAGATTTCCACTAGAACTATTTTCAGTATTATTTCCTTGGAATTTTTTAAGATCCGCGCAAAATAAAACCTAAAAAATATACATATTAAAATTAACATAGTTTATACATATTGCTCGGTTTTTACCGTATGTGCCCAACCAGCTAAGGGTCCGTACAAGTCTCTGAAATGGTCTCCAATATCATTATATATTTTTTCTGTAACCGTCTTCTTATCGGGCAATTTTGGCATGTATAACCTTTTTGCTATTTGATAAATATGGGTATCAACAGGAATAGCATGTAAATGGTTTAGTGACATTAAACAAATACAGTCTGCCACCTAAAAGAATAATAGAATATTGTTTATATCTCAAAAACTCATATTTTATTTTTTATTTTATTTAATACACTGTTCAAAAGGTAATACCCAATTATAGAACAGGGATTTTACAGACAATAATAAAAGAAGTACATTAATTACAAACAAAATTAAAAGGAACAACAAAAAAATACAAATACATCATAAAAAAGGATATAAATAAAATCTGTACACTAAATAATACACATAAATGAAGATTAAAATTACATATTTGAAACTACCAGACGTTAAAAATAAAGTTTTTTTTAAGTCATTAAGGCTGCAGTTAAAGACATCTAGAGAATTTTTATTACAGTTGTTACTGATTTCATAAAGTGGTGAATGTTCGAGTACATTAGTACGAGGAGTTGGTAAATAAAATGTTTCGTTTTCTCTAGAGCTAAGTTTAGGTATAGATAATGATGGTTTGGTTATAAATTTCTGGCAGTCAGCCAAATTACGTAAAATTTTAAAAAGAAAGACCTGCGGAAAGTATTTCCGTCTAGTTTCAAGGCTAATAAAGGAATGTCTACTCAAAAGGTCCTCGTGCGGATATTCCAAATGTGGATAGTAACCATTAGATATAAAATTTAAAAAATCGACGCTGAATCGATTCCAGTTTATTAATGTGGACGCCACTGTGCGGAGACCATACGGGAGAGGCATATTCAAGTTTCGATCTAACGTAACTAAAGTAAAGGAGCTTTATGACATCTAAGCTTGAAAAATCACGACAGTTGCGAACTATAAATCCATTCGCTTTATTAGCTTCGGAGACAACGGTATCAATATAATTATTAAATGAAATTTTTTCATCAAATATAACGCCGAGGTCTTGAAATGTTTTCGGTCTTGACAAAACGTCATTATCAATGCTGTAATTAAACATAATGCGAGTGAACTTGTTGGAGAAAGACATGACATTACATTTTTCCACATTTAACATTAGTCTGTTATTATTACACCAAGATTGTATATTAAGTAAGTTTCGTTGAAGTTGAATACAGTCATTAATGTTGCTAACTGAGCTGTATATTTTCACATCATCGGCATAAAGAAGAAAATTTACATCTAAGTTGTTAACTAAATCGTTGATGAATATAATGAATAGTAAAGGTCCAACTATGGAACCTTGAGGAACTCCTGATGTAGCGACATACTCAACCGATTTATACCCATTATAAACAATATACTGTTTTCTGTTGTCTAAATATAATTTAAAGAAATTCAATAAGGCCCCTAATATGCCAAACATATGAAGCTTCTGGAGTAAAATTGAGTGATCAAGCCTATCAAATGCCTTGCTGATGTCCGTATATATAACATCAGTTTGTAAGTTGTTGTCTATAGAATTGGCTATAAATTGAGTAACACAGATCAAGTTAGTGACAGTAGAACGTCCTTTCATAAAACCATGGTGACAAGGTGTTATCATATTAGAGATGCTATAATAAATATAGTCATAAAGTAATATTTCAAAAACTTTACAAAAATTATATATAATGGAGATAGGACGAAAATTAGTAATGTTAAATTTATCACCCCTTTTAAAAATTGGACACACTTTTGAACGCATCCACAAATCAGATAACCGACACTCAGTTAGGCATAAGTTGAATAATTTTTTTTAAGGGACGAGAAAAAAATCTGAGCACAGTCTCTTATCAGAAACGTGGGAATACCATTCGGACCAGTAGTCATTTTGGGTTTAATTCTTTTTAAAGCTGAAAGAATTTCGGTTTCAGTGAAGTCGTGAATATGTATGATATTATTAATGTTATTGCTGGAATATGAATTATTGCTGTTAGAAGATGACGGTAACTAAGATTTAGAGAAGAAATCTGCAAATGCATCAATAATATCATTTGCATTATCAATATGACGCCCATTGTAATGCATAGACTGGGATATATTTGTAGAACCCTTTTTACTATTAATAAGTGCCCAAAATTTACTAGGGTTATTCCTAATAGATGCCTCCGCATCCCTGACAAATGCCCGGTAGGATATGTTGATTTCACTTTTAATTATAGTTCGTAAGCTTTTAAATTCTTCGAAGGCAAACAAGTCTCCACTAGTATTATATGCCTGCCAAAACTTTGCTTTAGTCTTGATTTTATTAATAATTTGCAAGTTATACCAAGGAGGATAAATTTTTTTAGTTATGCTAGAAAATTTAGGAACGCACATATCAAATATGTTGTAAAGTTGATCATAGAAATAATTTAGGGCACGATCCAACTTGTTAATTTTTTCATGTTGATGCCAATCTGAGTTACAGAGGAGATCATATAATAAAGGAAAGTTGGCTTTGCGAAAATTATAGCACTTATTGAACGATGTTGGAAAATTATTTTTTAACTTATTATTATCTATAGTAAATTGAGGGAAAATTTCTAATGCCGGATGATATACGTGTTCTTCTACCATGGGATCATCGGATCTTTCAACAATACAGATTGAACTACAAAAACCTAAATTTAGAATTCTGTTGAATCCATTGAGAACAAAATTATATTGCGCCAAGTCAAATTAATTAATTAAATTATTAAGGCTTAACATATGACGACTTACCTGATGAGTTTCCGCAAATATAGAATAATCTGTGATATTAAAATCTCCAATCAGTATCATATTAGAATTGTATAGATAATGCAGAGACTCGATGATCTCATAACCCACAATTCCAAAAATAAAAAAAAACTACATAATCTTTTTATATCTAAATAAAAATAAATATTTTTAGCTTAGGTACATGTATTTATTAATATATTGGAAGTTTATTTCTACTAAAAACTATTACTTTAAAACCAATTTTTTTTCTGAACAATATTTTGCAATAAGTGATAAAAGTACTTTTTTTTTTTAAATACCATATTTCACCTCGGCTATTTTTTCTACTCGTATATGATTTTATAGTCGATTTCATTCAAAATGAACTAGTAGACAGCAGTTATTACTTCCTATTAGTTGCTTCCAAACTGTATTTTGATAAAAATTGCCACTGTTACATAGAACATGATGTTTGTCAGGTAAAATGTTTTTGTTTTAGTGTTTTTAAATATTTTGAGGTGGACTAAGTAAGGTAATTTTGAGGTAGTTAATTGCAAGGTCCAATAAGGTGCCTTCATAAAAGCCCGAGACATTAGGGAACATAATCTTTCCTAAAACCAAGCAAATCTCTGCCTACAGCTTCATCAAATAAAATTAAAAGTCCCATATGATAATGTTAATATCAGTTATTACGAACTTAACCTTAATCCGAATATCCACTAATCCAGCCCGACGAATGCCCGTTTTGATGGTCCGAACAAAACTCTTTAATTCAAACAAAATTCGGTTTAACGTATATAGTTCGGATTATAGAGTCAGACTACATAATAAAAATGCCACATGTCTACGATGAGCCTGTGAGAATAATTTACCTCCTCAACAAGTAACATTGCTCCGCACGTTGCAGGCAGAATGTATCAAGAAGGAATTGAGTACCAAAAAGCAAACATGTATCACCGATTTCTATTGTAACTGTTAAACTGTTTCATTGGTTTTCTAGTCTTCTTTTTTATTTTTAATAAATGCATATACATATTTTACGATAATGTTTGGTTTTATTGTTATATGTACATAAACATATTTACATATGTACATATTTACTATCCAGTAATCCAAAAATATCGGTAATTCGAACTTATCTCTTTCAGCCTGTGTCTTAATTAGTTCATATTAAAGAGTCTATATTGTATTTTAATTATGAAAATCACATGATATTTGTCAGTTTGTCCTAAGCAGAAAAGGCATCATCACTTTAAAAGAAAAAGTGTCGTTTTCGTATCAACTAAGCCATTACAAATTCCTTATTGTCATATATACGAGTAAAAGATAATTTTTCTGCAATTGTTATTGACAACTTTTTGATATTCAATGTATGGAAAAGAGTTACTTTTCTGCATTAGGGCAAAGAGGTAACTTGTTTTACACTAAAAAGACATTCTTATATGTACAGGAATGGACTTGGTAGTCAAGTATATGTTCCTATATAGTGTGAAGATAGTTTAGGCTTTGCAAAATTGTTTATAAACTTTTGGCGGCCATGATAAGGGTGGGGTGCCAGGCCGGGGACGGGCACGGACAGAGAGAGAACGACTAGAAACGAGGTGGTGTTGAGATATCTAATTTTGGTCATTGTTTTTATAATAGGTACTTTATGCTGCATTATATTAACAACTACACAAAATGAATTATTTTCGAACTTGTAGAAACAATAATAAGTATGCAACTTGTGCAAAAAAGCGTGTTTTGCACCTTATTCTTCTTCTAATTTAATAATTTCACGTCCTGTCCTAAAGATACTCTTTGCAATAGTTATATAAATAACTATTTTATATTCATGTTGGGTGTCAAAAACATAAACTTACCTTTGCACCTATTCCAGTGAGTAACATCAGTTCTTTCTTGGCTTCTTCATAAGACATTGTTTGAAGTTTATCGATCCATTTCTCTCCACCTGAATCCATTATGTGTTGGGCCGTTTTACTAATATACTTAGCTCTATAGCCAAATCCATTAGTTCTTAATTTTTCTTCAACTGATTGTTGAGCTAGCAAATTAACTTTGGGGAAGGCGTAGTACTTTTCACCATCTATTTCACATATTTCCTCTCCATAAAATGTTGCTAATTTTTCTACCATACTGCTTATCCTAAAAAAGTGAAAACTTAACAGTAGGATGCAATTCATTCAGAAAGTACACAGATACCTTGTTATGTGATTGTTGGATGAACAAATGAAAGAAAATATATTTTCTACAATATCCTGCTTCAATATTCGAATACCGTAAAACTGTTTAGCAGCTTCCTTAAAATATGGGTCTGCTGTAGACCATTCCTCATACAATTTTTCTATGTTTACATGTAACTGAAAATAACTGCGAAGAAGGTTATTGTAGGACATTTCATCTTCAAGTTCATTTAATTTTGTTTCATGCACTTTATACAATATATGATCATTCTCTTGTTGTAAAATCCATACTTTATTAAAAAATACTCCTAGCCATTGTTCTTTTTGTTCGTCACATATTTTTTTCCACCTTGAAAATTTATAAAGAGATTTAGGTAGTTTTTTGTAATATTACACATACTAACAAGTACCTACCTGAAACTCTGACCACCATTCAATGTACCTAACAATTGTAATTCATTTTGTTTACATGGGAGCTTATACCATATATGTTTCATGATTTAATTTTTACATATGCGTTCTTTTTCTCACAATACATATATGTATTACACTTTTCCCGCAATGTGAATAAAAGTTAGGTTAATTTATATTTCATTTAAGCTACGTATCACAAGATCTACTGAAAGTGATCTTTCTTTCAGAGCATATGAACTACTAATAAAAGACCAGCGGTTAGGAAAAGGTAGTTTCTAGTTACACAAGCGCAAACAAAATTTAGAGCAGCTTCATATGCGCGCATTATATTTATATAATTAATTATTACCGTGATTTGCTTTGATTATTAACAAACTTGAGAAACATAATATTTCAATAATTTAATTTAATTACATTCAGCATACAGATAACTGAAAATACTTAGATAGTAGATTTATGTATGTACCTACCTATATTATACAAAGGTATTTATTTATAGCATTTTCTATTCCTAAATAGTTTTTCTATTTTTAAGTTTTTATTAAGGTATTTTTCCATTTTGCTTATCGACTTATCATATATGAGATTGCAAAATTATGAGCAAAAATAAAGATGTTTTAAAATAAACAGGTATGTTAACCTTTGCTAATAAATATGTTAACCTCTGCTTGTGGAAGGGTTTATATAGGGTTTAGTTTATACACTAGGTATCTTTATATGTATATATAGGTTGTATCCTAATTCTATGTCATAAATTAAAAGGGTGATTCCTTGCGTCATTTTAGGCCCAAAAGCCTTAATAAACCAAGGCCCTAAAGTTATTGGTTTCTAAGGTAGGAGTAAAGTTTTTGAAAAATATCAAATTTTTTCAATTATCAAGTTGTTTGACATAGATTGACGAAACTTGGGGAAATGATTTAACTAATTAAAGGTAATAATTCGGTATATTTCCATCTACCAACCAGTGGCGGATATTCAGAGGAGCTTTGCCAGTACGATCCTCAGAAAAACTACGCTACTGGATTTTCAGAAAAATTAATAGGCGCGTTTAATTTACTGTCATATTTTTAATAAAATGGGTCTCTTGCATTTTGTTCACACAAAATATTTTCGAGTAATAATTTTTTTGTTCATATTTAATTTTAAAATAATTTCTAATAGGTATTTCATGGTTTAAAAAAATGAAACGCCAGTAGAAAATGAAGCAGATTTAAGACAACGAATCATAAATGGATGTCAGCAAGTCGGACAAATTCCAGCAAAATGAATACAAAAAACTATTTTATTATGTAGTTCAGGCGTAGGTATTTTAAATTTTGTATTCTAACTGTAGTTTAAGTATATAGTTATAACTAGCAAATAATTTATTATGTATCATTTTTATAGACAACTTAAATAAGAAATTAGGTTTAATTTTTTTTTAAATGACTTCAAAGGACAAATTAGGTTTAATGTTTTCTATTTATATAACTTATTTCCAACAAAAGGATATTTGCAAATACATGAACTTAACATTGTTTTTTTTTAATGCTAATAGTTTAATATACAGGGTGTTTGTAAATAAGTGCGAAATATTTCAGGGGGTGGTTGCCGAAGTTATTTTGTGAAAAGAAGTTCATATAAACGTAGGTTGAAATATGTTTCGTTTCTGAGATACAGTGTTTAAATTTTAATTTTTTATTTATTTTTATTAATTATTTCACTTTTAAAGATGTTGAATCGAAATTTCAAAAACTCTTTGGACGGATAAATGTGCATTTTTTGGGGTGATCCGAATATTTCTACTTGCATCAGTGGCGTTCGTGCGAGAATGCCACAACCTTTTTTAATGGTAATAAAAAAAATGGTACGCTACTGACTTTTCCCGTTTTGATATTTCTTTAGAAATCCGCCATCAATTCTGAATGAAATAATTTTTTTCTTAGTATGCACCGTTTTTGAGGAAAAAAATAAAACATATTTTATTGCAGGTTTTGTTATTTAAAGATTGCAAGATGCATTTGTTTGTGAGTTTATTTTATATTTATTGAGCTTTGTGATAAGCTTGTTTTAATTCAACAAACACAATAACTGGAAAATGCTGTTTTTTTTTTTTAGTTAACTGATTGGCACTTTTTTTTGGAAACATTATTAACTGCGAATTAAAAAATGAACTGGAAATTTTAGTGACAGTGTCTTCCGGTATTTTCGCTATTGGTTGACATAATTGTACAGGAGCCTTCATAAATTTCCTGCATGTTGGCAATTAAATTCCGGTAAAATTAAAAATTGTTAAAACTATAAGATCAAGACTAGGTACATTAAATTACAATATTCTGTTTCACCGGTTGTGATTGATGTAATTATTCACAAGATTCTATACAACGAATCAGCGATCGCATTATCTCGAGGGTAAAAGTAACGGTTTGTCAGTGTTCATTGTAAATTAATTCCATAAGATTTAGGGATTTTTCGTTACCAGTACCAGCACCAGCCCTGTAATGTTGGTTGCCTAAGCTCGGCGGTCACGTGGCTTGATGAAGGCTCTGTACATATATCAACATAGATTTTGCTCTCATTTATTTTATCAGCCCTACTTTTATCTATGTGACCATCAGAGACATTTGAATCAATAGTAATATTTTTTTAACTTCAACATTCTGTAACTTAAAAATCAGTGGCTTTAGATTTTTTTTTATTCAGGCTTTTTGATTTTAGGAATAAACAACCTCTTGAAATTACGACATGGACTTAGAAAACACTCTGTATACATTTCAAATTCAAAACAATGTGTAATAGGATTAGGAATTTTTAAATATCTTTTATACTCAAGTACTTACTATTCTGTCTGAATGAAAATGCCATTTATAAAACGCGTTTTACTTCGGGCCGTGCGGTACAGTATGATTATTTCTTAAAATTCCATTTAGATATTAAAATCGTGCTAGAATTTAAGTGCATGTAGAACGAGGGATAAAGTGCGGGCTATAGAGAGGCTCTTCGTTAAGGAGGCATTCAAGCATACATTTCCCTTCTGAGAGAAGGGAGAATAAAAAGTTCAAATTCTTTTTTGCTAATTCGTTTTCAAAGGCTTGCCGTCGGGATCAAGAAATACAACTGTGATAGGTTCTATTTCCACAAAAACTTTTCTTTTTTCTTTCAATTAAATGAGTTTCACCAGCGGGGGGAGTCGAGAGTTCGATATGAATTTAGAGCTGGAATCCTAAAAGTAAAAGAAATATTTGTTATACATCTACAAAGATAAAAGTTATGTCTATCGTAAAGTATTTTATACAAGTAGATAATTCATTTGAACGTCTGTTTTAATTTTCGAGAGATATTTCTGTTACTTAAAACGAGGTTAAAGGCATATATAAGTACCAAATTACAGATATGCTCCATCGATTTTAATATTCCATGCACATCTCACATATTACTTTATAAATTTTACTGTTTTCAGATATATCATAAGGTCAATAAAACATTAAATGTTATCTACTAATGGTTTTAACATGTCACGTGACAAATTAAAAAAAATATATTAAAATCTATTTAAAATTTACATTATTATTAACGTTAAGGGAAACAACATTATTTTCCTTATTTTTTTTTTCTTGATTTCAGAAGATTAACTGCAATAGTAGCTGGACTTGAGGCTTATTTTAATCTGTTTGGAGTCCTCCCTTCAAATCCACTTTGGTCTTCAACTGTTTTGAGTATTGTGGCCTTAGTGTGAAAACATTGCTCGTTTGTTGTTGTTTTTTCTAAGTATATTATTTAATAACCCTTTAAATGATACCATTTATTCTGATAGTTTCAAGATAACCAAGATATTTCTAATTAAGTATACAGGGTGTGGCCTATATAATCTATAAAAATTAAACTACAGCTTCCTGATGATATTTGTAATAGAAAAGTCATATACGAAAAAGTTATATTTTTGCGTTTTTTTTTTTCGTAAATTAAAGTTCAATTATCGATCAAAATATTTTCTCTTGAACGGTTCTATCCATGTGCTGTACGATGAGTTACGTGTTGTAGACCAGCCGCAACTCTAATACGAAAAAGTTCTATCTTCGCGTTTTTATTTTGTAAATTAAAGTTCATTTATACAACGAAAATGAAGGCCGACCCTGTGTTATTTATTAAAAACTTTGGAAATGTTTTTATGCGACCCGAGATGCAACCTTATAATTTAAGTAAGTATAATCTAATACTAGTAGTACTAATAGAAGGTTAGGTTACATTGTCAAAAAGATTGTGCAGTCAACTGATTTTGTATTTGTATTGAATTCATTATTCACTTAATTATTAGATATTAAGCATCGTCCATCAACCCATCAGTATTAAAAAGTGAAAGATACCAGACAATAGTTTTTGTTTTGTAATTCCAAGATAGTGACAGTGTAATTTTTATAAAGAAGTGAAAAATAAGAATAACGTACCGATTACATTAAAAACGAGATTCTTATTTCTTACTTTGCTTAATTTTTTAGTTTATGCACAAACTAATTTTACAACGAACTGAGAAAACAATGCATTTACTATTTCCGAACGTGTCGATATGGTGCAGCCGGAGAAAATCCGCTCGCGGGTTTTACCGGGAACGATGGCCACAACGTCACCCCCCATGTGCAAATACAATCCTACAGTTCAGCGTTCAGCGGCTGCGAGATACGGGAAGTGTAGTGTTCTCCTCAAGGAGAAGGACGTGGTCAGCAAGTGAACCTTAATGTTGAAGATGCTGTGTTGGAAAATCTTGACGAAGATGCGACAGTTAGTACCCGACGACTCGCATAGCAAGTAGGCACCTCATCTCGTACTATATATCGCATCTTAAGGCACCAGCTGTTGCATTCCTACCATCTGCTATCAGTTCAACCGATTTTACCCCCGGATTGTGATCAACGAATGCGTTTTTGCAGATGGTTTTTATGGCAATGTGCTAATCAAGTAGACTTTCCTGCTTATGTTTGTGTTACAGATGAGGCGACATTGACCCGTGATGAAGTGAATTTCCATAAATATGCACATATGGGGCGAAGAAAATCCTCACGCGATTAGGGAAACTCATTTGCATCATCGGTTCTCGGACTTCTCGGTAAATGTTTGGGCTGGCATCAGTGGCGGTTCGTGAAGGAGGACTC